CCCTCACACCATCCACGATTCTTTTCAAAGGTAAAGCGCAGGCTAATTTGTCTTGTGTATTTTTACTTGATATTTTGTATTAATAACTTTTATATGAATATTTTATACGAGTTGTGGAACGGATCATATGAGCTTCCATTATTTCTAATGGGAAAATTCGCTTTGATATACGAGTGCTTTGGATTACAAGCATGTTTCCGGAACGAATTATGCTCATAAAAAAAGGTACCACTGTACTCCTTAGTCAAAAATCTTAACTTCAGAATAGCTTGATTGTGTTCAAATGTCAAAGAATTCACTTACATTCTGCTCGTCTTCATCAAAATGGCATGCAACCTCTGGAAGCAGATTCTTCAGTAAAGCCATCTTCTGCCTTCTACTTGATCCATGTGTGGAAGCCAGTAGTTCGGAGAAAAATCTGGAAATTAGGAAGAGAATGGCAGTTGGTATCTCCACTGTCACTCAAATCATTGGATTTTTTGATTATGTCATTCACACAAGTACAGACATCTTTGCGAGTTTGCACGAGGTGGATATTTCTGCTACGTGCCTCAACAGGTCAGCAGATGGGACCAGCTGCCAGTATTCCTCCTGCCTACTGATGTCACCGCAGAAGGACGGCAGGTGGAAGAGACACTGCAGGGTGGCGTTCATATAGCAGGTCTGCCCAAGGTTTGGTAGCCTGGAAGACAGAGAAACATCTGCCTCAAAACCTGCCCACCCAGGTCTTTGGTGGTGGTTGGAACAGCTGGGGAATCCTGCAGTGGAAGGTTCACAGGAGCGTAACGCTTACCCAAGGCAGACCAGCCGCTGGCTCTCTCCCACCGCCGCATCACCCCTATCCCCCATGAAGCAGGGAAGCAGCCATTTGGGGATCCTTGGACAGGAGACAGTGCAGGAGAGAAAGGGAATGAAGTGATAGAAGCACATCAAACATCGAAACAGGGTTAATTACGGATTTGCCACTGTGATCATACATACCTTCTCAAGGACCTTTCAGGTCCCTCATTAGGGGGGATGTCCTGTGTCATCACTGGAGGGGACTGGTGCTCCTCTACACTGGTATCAGTCGAGGAGGCGCTAGATGTCAGTGACTTGGAGGAAACGAGAACAAATTCTGTTTTAGACAGGGAAACCAAGATACTGCTGTATTCTAAAATCACACTGGAAATATCTCTGATCTGTGTACCTCCGAGTTGACAACGGAGAGGCTGGGACTCTGGCCGCTCGAGAGTGCATTGCTGTCTCCAGAGTCCCTGCAGTCACCTGACAAACCTCCGTCTTCGTCAGAGCTAGAACAGCCAGAACTGCCACCGTGAGCGGAGAGTTCAGGTACTGTATGAAAGTGACTGAAAAAGTTAGAGCTCTAAGGAAAACTGGGGCACTACCTCTCCTTCGCTCTCGACTTGACAAGTTTCAGCCATGGAAACTTGCGCTGGAACTTCAGTCTTCTCTTCTGGGGTTTATCGACGTCTGCCCCTTCAGCAGCAGAGATGTTGCGTTGCTGTATTACAGAAGATGAATCAGTGTATGGAAATGAGTCACTGTATACAGAGGCAGAGATAAAGAGTATATGCCCTCCCAAATGTCACCACCTTTAGGCTTGGTTTATCGAAGCTGTATTACTCAGCCTCCCCCCCGCAAAAAAGACAGAATGTGCTAATAATGAACTGCTAGTTTGAATAACAGAGAGTTTATTATATAACTTAAGGCTGAAGATTACGAGCTCCCTCTCTAATCATTTTCTCGGACTGCATTTGGTCTATATGTCCGCAATTCCAAAGATGGAGATGCGGTTGTGATTTAAACGTTTATCTACGCCTTTAGAAATTAGCCCTGATTTCACCCTCCATTAAAGGTAACATTTCACGGTAATGAAATTAAACTGATAAAAAAAAAAAGAACTTACCTTTTTTCTGGGCCAACAGGAAAAAACTCCACAAGACATGGTGATCACGCTGCAAGACATTTTGATCAATCCGTTTAGTTTGAAAAATGCCTTTTGAAAAGTGACTAAATTAGAAGTTGCACTCAGTTAAATCTAACCGCCGCTAAATCTGATTGGTCACTACAGACATTCGTATCATAACTAGGGATGCGCGTAACTGGTACGCAAGTAGGCATTCACATTCGAAAGCTACGTGCGGCAATCCATTGCTATAGAACAAATGCGTACGTATTTTATGTACGTTTGCGTTAATTTCTTGCCATAGCATCGCAAATGCACATAAAATGTCTACGCATTTGCGCTACTGATCCTAACAGCATTGGCTTTGACGTCAGCCAAAAAATACAAAACAAAAAGGAAGACTTAAATAGTTTGCTGTATATGTTACCTATAAAACACATTTCGACTGGTTTATATGCCTAGGCCGAACAAATACGATGACAAAGAACTAAAGATCAGTAAACAGTTTCATGAGCTCAAATCTTATTTTGGAATGAGAAAATCGCGGTAATACGGTATTACCGTAATACCACCCAAGCCTGGCCGACACCCCTCCCCCTGTTGTATCACTTAATATTTTTCTCTCAGCAAGACAGTTAAACCAACCTATTTGCTACATATAGGTTAACCCACCCATCCATTCTCTGTAACCGCTAATCCCATTCATGGTCCGGAGCATATCTCGAGGGGCGCAAGCTGGGTCGCCAACTCTCACGCATCTGGCATAACACACATGCTTTCAGATTCTCACTCTCACGTAAGAAATCTTACGGCAAATCTATGTAGGTTTATAATATAATAATAAACTACATCAAAAACTTTGGGGCAGTTTGCAAATCTTAGAGAGTATGAACAAGGTAATAAATGCGTCACTTGTTAGTAATCTCACTGCAGCCATCTGACCAAAGCTGGGAACCCTGCGTGCAATTACGCAGGGAACAACCCAGGATGGGGCGCCAACCCATGGCAGGGCAAACATATAGGTTTGTCACTGATTTAAAAAGAAAATTTACCGTGAAGCAGAATTTCATAAAGCAGGAAACATGTAGGCTGTGATCTATGTGTACACACATGAAAGGATATTTTATTGTGCATAAGTTTTTGAAATGTAAAAGGTTATTGGTTGACCTCTGACCTGTATTGTAATTGGGTTAGGTGGGATGGAATACGCGCGAACAGGGCGCAGGACAGAGAACCGGAGAGCGGTTCTTGCTTGAGTTTTGTCAGTTAAAATGGACCGTTTGTTTCGAACCCGTGCCTCGGGTAATTGTTTGTCATTTGAAGTAAATGCAGGACAGACACAGTTGGCGACGAGGATTTGATTCCTTTTTTGTTTTTTTTAGACGCGACGGCCAGGTTGCTCCAGTTTACATTGACCAGGTAACTAATCATTTTTTGTCTTTGAAAATTTAACGACAGAAGAGAGAAAAGGTATAATTGCACTGTACAGCATTGATAGTGTGCGACAGTTCGACGAGTCAGTCGAGATGTTCGCTAATTACGAGGAACGTTTTTTTTTGTTGCTATTTTGGGCGCTAATCAGATAGAACAAGGATGACGGAGAGTAGTGTTTTCATCCGTATTCGGTCCTGAAGTTTTTGCCTTGCTGAAAGACATTCGGTAAAGTCTCTCTCAGAACTGTTGGTGGTACTCAGAAACTTTTACATGACCAAGATAAATGTGCTGGCTGAAAGATTTGCGTTCAGGAGCCATCGGCAGCAGCCAGGTGAAGCGTTTGTTGACTATATTGCTATCTTGAAGGGATTAGCAGCCACGTGTGTTTAGCTTGAAAGAATGGCTCCTAGATGCATTTCGTCTGTGGAACGTCTAGCTGAGAACTACGCCGGATGCCGTTGGTGGTGAATGACTGGCATGGCAGAGAATGGTGGAAATTACCAAAAGCTTCGAGTGCAGTAAGGACGGATCACGTCGGCCCAGAGAACTGTCGTTTCAAGGATTTTCAATGTCGCGGCTGTGGAAAAACTGGATATTTGGAACGTAGAGGTTGTAAGAACAAGAGCAGCACCGGACAAGGCAAACCACAGTTTGGAGTAGTGGTGGGCGGATCGATCCAAGTATCGATAATAATGTTGGTATTGATATTGATCAATACCAGTTCAATGAGATCGATACTTCAGTTTCAATCTCTCTCCCGAATGCACTGCGGCTGTCTGTGTTCGCGGCTCGCGCTGCTGCTCTCATTTGCTGCTCCCGACTGTCACATGACTCAACGACGCCAGGCTAGTAAACAGGCGCGGGCGCACACACATACTTTATTATAAATATTATAGTGTGTATTACAATAGTGGGTCGCTGAGTCATGCTCGCAATAATTAAACAGCAGGGATAGTTCGGGGTTTAATAATCAGATGGCGTTTATTACACTCACACACCGGCACTGTTCACCGTGCACGTCGCCCCGTTTACTCCTCATACACACGGTGGGCGCGCGCACACATACACACACACTACATACAACAATGAACATTATCCACTATACATAACATATCACACAGCACATTTATAATCACACAAGCGATTACTGAGAACTTTTTACAAGGTGGCATCAGTCCAACATGCCGCCCTGCCGGCTGGTACCTCCGCACTATAGTATTTATTTACTTATAAACTTTGCCCAAATTCTGTCCTGGGTTTTACCTAATTAATCAAAAAAAAAATCACAAAAACACTTAAAGGCAATGAAAATTAATTCAGCTGTAGCAATTTGATGATGCATCCACCTTAATTACGAAGTATCGGTATCGTATCAGCGATACTTTCCCTGTATTTACTTGGTATCGCATCGATACCAAATCTTGTAGTATCACACACCACTAGTTTGGAGCTTCAGTGAATTCGTCAGACCGAGCGTCGAGAATGCGAGACGGATCGGGGGAGAACTTTCTTGAAAGCAAAATGGAGAGCCGTGAACAACAGCAATAGACTGAGGATGCAAAATATTGGACTGACAAACTGTTCAGGGGTTGTGAGTATGTAAAGCTGTATAGGGTATATAATGTAACGGAGTTAAAATTTATTTTGAAGTTGATACCGGAGAAGCGATGTCCGTAATTTCAGATCGCCTGTACAGATCCAAGTTGAAAAATGTGAAGTTGCAACTGTCATGTCGCTCTGAGAACACATACGGGTCAGCAGTTAACCTTGCTGGGTAAATTGGTAATCGTACAATGAGGGAACCAGCGCGTAAGGCTACCATTACTCGTGTGACGTGGAAGAGGTGCAGCGCTTATCGGTCGAGACTGGATTCATGCCTCAAAACTAGACTAGTCTAAGGTGAACGGGGTAGACATTTCTGGTCCTGTAGTGACAGTGTGTGCTCAGTACCAGTGTTGGGGAGTAACGAGTTACATGTATCGGCGTTACGTAATTTAATTACAAAAATATGTAATTGTAATCCGTTACAGTTACACTATAACATTACACTTTTTTCTAGTAACGGCAAATATTCATGAGTACAATTTTAGTTGCATCATAAGATTGTATGCAAAACCTTGCTAATATGTTTAATAATTATATTTATTGTGCTTTTCATGTGTTATGCAAAACATCAGAGTCCAGAACAAAACAGTC